AGTGAGTTGTGCCCTATTTTATGACTTTTTTTGCTACAGTTGCTAAGTGAATCATTGCAATTGTTAAGTGAATTATGCAGTTGATAAATGAATCTGGCTTCCCCCATTGACTTTGCTTTTTGCAAGCCAGCCACGCTGGTTACAAATGGTGATCACATGACCCCAGGTCAGTGCAACTGTCATAAGTACATGCCAATTGCCAAGCACCCGAATTTTGATCACATGATCATGAGGATGCTGCAGTGGTTGTAAGTGTGAAAACCGGTCATAAATCACTTTTTCACATTTTCTCATAACTTCAAACAGTCACTAAATGAATAGCTGTAAGTCAAGGGCTACCTCTATGTTTATTTTTGTTTTCTTGGTCAATTGATGTCCCTTCTGGAAAACTGCCATTTGGGAGCAGTTTTAATTTCTGGGAAGATCATCTATATAGGTTATGATGGGAAAGGAGTATCTTTGGGGAATTTTCTTCATCGTCGTGTGAACAGGATGCTGTAGCTCAGTGGCAGTTCCCATGATCTGTCTGGGGAGAAATCTTGTGGCCAGCTGCTGCTGATCAGAGTTGGCAGAACTGAAATAGACGGACCAGATGGTTGGAATATGTATAAAGGTGCCTTCTCTGTTTATATAATAATATTGCAGCAAAACTAGAATGGGGTAATGGCAAAGAACAGGGACAAGCAATCTGTTGTTCACCGGGACTACAGCCCCTATAATCTTTTACCATCAATTGCTTTAGAAATCAATTTGAGAGATGGCTGTTGATCCAAGCTTTTGCAACATAATTATCAATGTGTGGTTAGTAGGGACAGCATACAGTAGGTCCAGGAGCAGAGAGAGCTGGATTTAATCCATCTTCAGCCATTGAAGCTCCTGGGATGACTTAGACCTTGGCGCTTTCTTTTAGTCCAGTTGTTATCAGGAAAAAAATGACAAAAAGCTAGATATGGTGTGAAACAGAAATCTATCTGCCTGAAGGCAGGACAAGAAGCAACAGATGGAAACTGATCAAGGAGAGAAGCAACCTAGAACTAAGGAGAAACTTCCTGACAGAACAATTAACCAGTGGAACAACCTGCCTCCAGAAGCGGTGAATGCTCCAACACTGGAAGTTTTTAAGAAGAGACTGGACAGCCATTTGTCTGAAATGGTGTAGGGTTTCCTGCCTGAGCAGGGGGTTGGACTCGATGACCTCCAAGGTCCCTTCCAACTTTATTACTATTATTACTATTATTATTATTATTAATAATAATAATTATCTATCTATCTATCTATCTATCTATCTATCTATCTATCTATCTATCTATCTATCTATCTATCTATCTATCTATCTATCTATCTCTATGTACTGTATGTGTATGTATGTGTATGTGTATATATATAGTGTATGTTTGTGTGTGTGTGTGTATACTTGCTTTTAAAAAGAGCAATGCAGGTAATCCTTGACTTATGACCACCATTGAACCTGAAATTTCTGTTGCTAAATGAGACATTTGTTGAGTTTTGTCCCATTTTACTACCTTTCTTGCCACAGTTGTTAAGTGAATCATTGCAATTGTTGAATTAGTTGTTGTGAAGTGACTCTAGCGTCCTCACTGATTTTGCTTGTCAGAAGGTCACAAATGGTGATCACAGGACCCCAGGACAGTGCAGTCATCATGATTATAAGTCAGTTGCCAAGCGGCTGATTTTTGATCACATGACTGTGGCGAGGTTGCAATGGTTGTAAGTGTGAAAAATGATCATAAGTTACTTTTTTCAGTGCCGTTGTAACTTTGAATGGTCACTGAATGAGCTGTCATAAGGGGAGGATTACCTGTAATAGCAATGGAATGGCAGTCTAATCAGTAGGGAGCAGATGGAGTGTTGTCATGTAAGTCCCACCTCTATTAATACATCCTTTGTAGTCATACAGCATATACATTTTACACCACCTTTTCCTGTGTTGTTCAAAAAGTGACTTCTCAGCCATAGCCCCTGCCCTGTGGAACATTCTCCCTCCAGAGATGAAAATGGATCAGCCCTCTTGGCCTTTCATAAGGCCTTGAACATCTTGGCCTTTCATAAGGCCTTGAACATATGTGTGGGCTTGGGGGTCCCGAATGTGTTAAGGGCCACTTTTCTAGCTTATATTAATACTTATTTTTACAATTTTTCTCGGGTGCTATATTTATTTTTCAGTTTTGTTTCTATATGGTTTTAATTGATTTTGTGAGATGGGCAGCTACAGAAATTGGATGGATGGATGGATAGACGGATAGATGGATGGATGCTGTTTCATCTAGACAGCAGAACATCTCTAACACATGCCCAGTACACTAATTTACCACTTGGATCATCTTCATTGACTTTATGCCTTTGTACCAGCGTTGTTAATATGGACAATTCTAGACTGATCCATCTGTTAGACAAAGCAAAGGCAGTCCATGTGGTGTATTCTGGGAAGGACAGAGGTTGCAGAGACAACTCCAAGCAGTTGCCAGGAATTAAACCCTGGCTTGAAGGTCTCCTTGTGAGGAGCACTTTTGTAGAGTGTGAGTAGGCAATCCTAAAAATCTCTCCTCCTCTCTGGAGAGATTTTTATCAGCCAAAATGGACTCCTGGCCAGTGAATCCACTGCAGTGCTGTCCCCATTTGTGGAGTTAATTAGAATAGAATAGAATAGAATAGAATAGAATAGAATAGAATAGAATAGAATAGAATAGAATAGAATAATTGAAAGGGGCCTTGTAAGTCATTTAGTCCAACCCCCTGCCCAAGCAGGAGTCCCTAAACCATTTCTGTCAGATGGCAGTCCACTCTCTTCTTGAAAGCCTCCAGTGATGAAGTACTAACAACATCTGAAGGCAATCTGTTCCATTGGTTGATTGTTCTCACTGTCAGGAAATTTCTCCTTATTTTCAGGTTGAATCTCTCCTTGATCAGTTTCCATATGTTATTCCTTGTCTTCAGGTACTTTGGAAAATAAGTTGACCCCCTTCTCTCCGTGGCAGCCCCTCAAATATTGGATCACTGCTATCATGTTTCCCCTGGTCCTTCTTTTCACTAGACTAGCCATGCCCAGTTCCTGTAGCCATTCTTCATATGTTTTAGCCTCCAGTCCCCTAATCATCCGTGTTATTCTTCTCTGCACTCTCTCCAGAGTCTCAACATCTTTTTTATAGTGTGGAGACCAAAATTGATTGCAGTATTCTAGGTGTGGTTTTACTAAGGCTTTATAGAGTGGTATTAGTACCTCACATGATCTTGATTGAATCCCTCTGTTAATTGCTCCTTGTCCTGCCTTCAGGCGCTTTGGAAAATAGCTTGACTCCCTCTTCTTTGTGGCAGCCCCTGAGATATTGGAACACTGCTATCATGACCCCCCTCGTCCTTCTCTTTGTTAAACTAGACATACCCAATTCCAGCAACCGTTCCTTATATGCTTTAGCCTCCAGTCCCCTAATCATCTTTGTTGCTCTTCTCTGTACTCTTTCTAGAGTCTCAACATCTTTTTTACATCGTGGTGACCAAAACTGGATGCAGTATTCCAAGTGTGGCCTTACCAAGGCATTGTAAAGTGGTATTAATACTTCACGTGATCTTGATTCTATCCCTCTGTTAATGCAGCCTAGCACTGTGTTGGCTTTTTTGGCTGCCGCCACACACTGTTGCCTCATATTTAATTGATTGTCCACTAAGACTCCAAGATCTCTCTCACAGTTGCCTCTATTAAGCCTGGTTTCACCCAATCTATATGTGTCCTTTGGTTTTTCTTGCCTAGTGTAAGACTTTACTTTTCTCTACGTTGAATTTCATTTTGTTAGAGTTGCTTGAAGGGACATCTCATCTGGTATCAGTTCTCACTAGAGGCTCCAGGTAGTAATATACAGTATCCTGAGCCACTCCTTGTATCATGTTTCCTGATATTTCTGGAAGTACCATGGAACAATGGAAAGTAAAAATTCTAAAAATTCTGATCCAGGATTTGATCCAGGACAGATAGCTGCTCTGTTCTCTTGCTGCCAAGAAGCATCAAGGTTTATTTCACTGATGGCCTCTGGGTATTGTAATAACCAATGAAGTGCTGTTTAGTCAGAAGCAACTAATGTTAAATGATTCAAGAATGAAGAATGGAAACTAAATGGCTTGATCCAGGTGGAGTTAGGCGTTTCAGGCAATGAAGACTGTAGGAATTCTAGAGGAAAGGTAAATAAGTCTCATGATCTCCTTGACTATAATACAAGCAGTGATTGGGTTTGCATGGCATTTAGTTTGTATGCATTTGTAAAAATGTAGTGTCTTTGGAGGTGATCAGGTTCCCACCCTTAAATTTCCATAAGAAGAAGCCAAATGGGATAAAAACCTAATTTTGGACTGTTTTAATATTCTCCCAAATTCTGCCATAAACAAACAAAGATCTATTGTGAGTCACTTAACATGTTGTTGTTGTTGTTGTTGTTGTTGTTGTTATGAGGGTTTCAAGATAGGAGTGGGAGCCTTAGTCTACTTTCTGCCTATTCCAGTCAGTGTTTTTGCCCTGTCCAGTTGATTGGCTTGAAGCTTTGGACCAGCATTAAAAATCTACAAGTCTGAAGTATGCCGTGTCTTGTTAGGCACAAAGGATCAGGACTGTACCTTTGATTACAGTTCAAAGGTTTACTGCTTAAGCCTATACAAAAGAATCTAGTGAACTAAAGTTCAGTACTAAATTGGTGCTAGATTAGGTCAAAGGAACTCAAGAAGGATTGGACTTGAATCATTGATGGCAATGTAAAGACTCTTAAGATAATGATATACTTAACTCCACCCCCACCAGCTCTGCCTGCTCTTCTCTTACATGTATTTTACTAAACTGGATCTGTAAGGTTGCTGGGAGTACAAAGAACAAGAAAAGTTACTGCAGATTCATGCCCAAGTTTCTTATGCCATTATGAGTTTATGTCACCATGCAGAACCTCAGATTCAAATATTGCTGCTTGAACAAATTGTGTTCTTCTCCTCTTTTACCATTACAGGTTCTTATCTGATGGTCAATTCCTCCCAGCACAATCCAGGGCAGAAAGCACAGATCCTTTTCCAGACATTGAGCGAAAATGACACTCACTGCCTCCAATTCAGCTACTTCATGTACAGCCGGGATGGGCACAGCCCTGGGACTTTGAATGTCTTTGTCAAAATGAATGGAGGGCCACTGGGAAGTGTGGTGTGGAATGTCTCTGGCTCCCATGCACGGCAATGGCATCAGGTGGAGCTCGCTGTCAGCATGTTTTGGCCCAATGAGTACCAGGTGAGAGGAGGGTTGCTGTCAGTGGCAATAAATCAGGAAGCAAGGTGGTTCAAATGACTACATGTTTATTGCATACTAACACTGCGTACAAGAATCTGAACCACTAATGGTCAAAGCAAATTGGCGGCAGATAAGAGTCAACAGAATTAAAAGTAGCTGGACTTAGATTTCTTGTGGACATGAAGGGACTTGAGACTGATGATGTGCTTGACTCCTCCCTCAGGCATAGCCTGGTCATCTTCTACAGTTGCCTTTCTGGAGAAACCTAGTGGGAGATTTGGGCTAAATTCTAATGCTTGAGGGAAATCAGGAATTCTGAAAAGGGAAGTGTGTGACTGAATTTATATATAGCAACCTAAACCATATGGATTAGCAAAACACATTTATTGTGTTCATTGAACATGCCAAATTTAAAGTAATTAATATACTATACTATGGTTTAAGGCAATGGGTTGAGATAATTACTGGATTTCCTGTTATCTACTGAACTACAAGCTATGAACACTAGATTAGTATAGTCTATTTGTTACGTGTCCAAATTGGTGGCAGCACCAAGCTCTCTTTTAAAGATCTGAAAAAGCTAAGCAGGATTCTTTTATTTCTTGCTTGGGAGAATGCCAAGAAATCTTAGATTGTAGACTAGAATTCAGAAGACCGTCACAGAAAAATATAATGGTACACCACTTCCAGTTGTTCCAAAAGCTGCATTGATATTCCATGAAATCAACAGAAGTTGAGTTTGACTGGAAGTGCACTTGACTTTAATATTCTATGGAAATCCAGCTCTTCATTTATGAGAAAGATAAACATGCAAGACAAGAGGATTTCACTGGATTGTCAATAGTAATTGTCTAATAATTAATTAATTGTCACTAGCCCATTCTTTTTTATCCTCCTGGGATGGATGCTTGTCACTATATAATCTTACTGATTTGTACTAATTTATGATCAGATGAGATTTATTATCACATGTCCCCAAAAGGAAGTTGATCATCGGCTTCAGATAGTCTTCCCCTCAATCTAAGTAGCTGAAAATCCATGATCCCCTTTATGGCATTCTCTGAAGTTCTTCAATAACCCTGCAAATTGAAAGAGAATTTATTGAGGGGGGAAAAATTAGCCTTGGGTAGCAACAGAATATCAACTGGCTTGACAGGTCCTTTGCTCTCAAAGTTGCCCAAAGTAGTTTAGATTTTCAGGGGTGCCAAAACTTCAGGCATTTATATGGAACAGTAAATCAAGTCATCCAAATAAGACCCTTATTTTATTTTCTTAGATTTCTTATGTTCTTTGAAGAATAACAAAGGCACAACCAAAATTAAAATATTATGAAAACAGTTAATGGGAATATGTGGTACATTTGTGTCTCCTTTTCCTCCAAAAATTCAAGTTGATATTTGTGTTTTTCCTTCCTTACACAATTTTCTTTAGATAGGTTAGTTAATAGGTTAGATAAAGGTAGTGCCCAACCCAGAGTCACCCAGTGAATTTCAGTCAGAGTTGAAATAAGGTCTCTTCAATTCTACTCCGATATTCCAGCTGTAACACCAGAATGTCTCTCCTATATCCTTAGGTATTGTTTGAAGCAGTCGTTTCCAATGAAAGGCATGGCTACTTGGGATTGGATGACATCCTGCTCTTGAATTATCCCTGCTGTAAGTGTAACAGTTCTTTTGGCCAACTTTCCCATTCTCTTGATAGCACTAACTTCTCTCAGAACCCTTATGACTAGCTTTGGTCTAAAAGAATAAAAACTTGGTCCTGGGGAAGATGACAGATAATGCAGTCAAGAAGATGTTTTTATGTCTTAAAATAGAATATATTTAAATAGTTAATATGTGTATTTTGAAGATAAGATGTTCTTATGAGTTGAGATAAAGAAACTTTTGATGATTTGGTAAAGAAAGAAAGCTAGAATAAGACTGAAAAAGAATGGGGTTTTAATTTATATATGAGATTTATTTAAATAGACAAGATGTGTATTATGAGAACTTAAAATAGGTGTAAGGACCCATTTCAATCCCACATCTTAAGAAAGCAGAACTCTTGGAAACAATTTCTTCCAACAGGAACTTTTATTAAGAGTAGTTGATAGCAGGCATAATAGACAGGATCTGAGAGATTCTTTACAGATCGATACTTTAAAGGGTCCCTAAGTAAATCCCACCCCACAGTTCATCCGGATGGTTCAGACTGGCCAATCCCCAGGTGTTAAGTCCATCATGGGAAAGGGAAGATAACATCGGTCCGGCTCCGTTTGTAGTATGATGTTCCACAGCTCTTCACACCTCCTTTTTTAATACACATTTTATTGGGTTTTTTTTTATTTTTACATCAAAGTGCTCAGGAAAACACCGTGGTGAAAGGGTAATCAATCATAGCAAAACAAGTCATATATATATAACTAAAATTAATACCTTAAAAATTCCCCCCTCTATTTCCTCACATGATATAACAAATTTAGATTAATCTATTTATTCTTAAAATTCAATCAATCCACAGAATCATCCTTACTATATCTACAAAAATCACTTTTAAGCTCCACTAATTTCAATTAAAATATTCCAATTAATCTTAAACAAACATATTAATAAAATTTTGGGTATCCCTTCTACAACACACATATAATTCCAAGAATAACATTCTAATATTTTCACATATATTCCATCTCTTAATTTAATACATCATTAATTAATACCCTTTCTTCTCTTATCATAGATCTCTCTAATTCTTCTGCTATTACAAAATAGTTTTCTATATAAACAGAGTAAAAAAACAAAAAAAGAATCATTTCGACCTGTTAAGTAAAATTTAACTCTCAACCAAATTAACTATCGTATCTAAGACAAACATATTATTACACCAATTATTATCTTACTGCTTTCATTTACTCAATTAGATTGTCAAATCAGTCCAAATCTCTAAAGCCTTTTTGACCCAATAATTAAAATTTTAAATCACATTTTTAAATCTAACTCTGGCTTTTTTTCTATACCAAGCTGGTTTCTGTAATGTTGCATCTATGTCATCAAATCTCAGTATTTGAGTACTAATGTTTATCAACAAATTGATCTGATCAAAATTCTCTTCCCCTTCTTCCAGTATCATGTAAGCAATATAGTCCATTTTATTCCATATTATAATTTCAGCTTGATTATCCATGTTGTCATAACTTTCAATCGATCGCGTCTGGCTATCAATTCCTGTTAATTTTAGCAATGGGAGAACTTCACTTATAGTCATTTTTTGATCTTCAAAGTTCTCCATTTGTACACAGACTTGTGAAATATCCTCCTCTGTAGTGGTTAGTTGATTTATAGTTATTTAAGGTCTCAATCTGGGATTTTGGGTCCAAACTTTTTCTAAAGTTCAATTGATCAGTGGGTTCTTTAATCTCAAATTGTGTACACTGTTGCAAATAAGCTTCTTCTTGGCCTGTAGATTGGTCTTTTAAAATTTGGGGCTCAGCTTGTGATTCTAGAAGATGGTCTTTAGTTTTTCTCCATGACTTCATCTCCTCTGTCATTTCCAATATTTTTTCCAATATCAGCTCATAGTCCAGTCCAGAATTCAATTGATCAGTAACTTCTTCTTCCATCTCAGATTGTGTATACTGTTGCATATAGGCTTCTTCTTGGCCTATAGGTTGATCTTTTAGAGTTTGAGGCTCAGCTTGTGGTTCTGCAAAATAACCTTTAGTTTTTCTCCATGACTTCGTCTCCTCTGTCATTTCCAATATTTTTTCCAATATCAGCTCATAGTCAAGCTGTGGGTAAAAGTCTTCTATTTCCATAGTAAAAGAGTCTTTTAATCTTTTTGTGGAAACTATATTTATTAAGAATCCATATACATCCGCCTCCACAATTTTTAAATCACAAACACAACCCACAGCTGTTTCCAAACCTTTATCTTTTCTTCTTGTTAATTCCTGAAGGTCAAAAACATCTCCAAACACCAAAACAGAGATTAAAATTGCAATACATATTTTCGCCACAAGATGTAAGCTATAAAAAGTTTTTTCTTTGCACATTAAAAACCTTTATCTTGTTAAGAATGACAAAGAAAGAGACAGAAAAAAGCAAATATCTTCAGTATAGTAAGTAAAATAATACTCTAAATTACAAATCTTTCCAGGGATGCCCAATATCCAAAAGTTTCAAAATATAATAAATGCTACACTGTAGTTTTGTTTGAAGTATTTTTTTTTCCACCAAACAGACAGACGCCGCTTCCTTAGAACAGGGAAGTCATCCAAAAAGCAAGCTCTTTGCAGGAAAAATAATTCAGGATGGAGAGAGGGACACACCTCCTTTTGAGATCGGAGAAATAAGCCAGGTTCCGGATGTTTGTATTTCTCCCCCCCCCCTTTTCCTAACTGCCAGGTTAGGGAGAAGAAAGTTCAGAGAGATGCATCGTGCAGGAGGCAATTTGTTACATTGTAATGGGCAGCAGACCCAGCAGCAATAAACAAAAGGTTACATTGTAGCGAATAGAGGAAGTGAAAGTCATAACCCTGCAGGCATATCCCCCCTCCCCCTTGGGTATGAAACTTCTTTAGCAGTTTCGGGGCTCTGACATGACATTTATGGACCCACTCGTTTTGTGAGGAGGGAAGGTGTTTCCATGCTACTAGGTATTGAGTTGCCCCATGATACTTCCTAGAATCTAGGATTTCTTTTATCTCGAAGTGTTGTTCTCCTTCAACCATGATTTTGGGGGGGGGGATTTTTGGCCGTAAGGGCGACTGTTGTTCTCTTTTCAGCAAGCTGCAGTGAAAAATTGGGTTTATTTGCCTGAGGTTTTTGGGTAGTTCTAATTCTACTGTTACTGGGTTTATGATTCTTTTAATTGGAAAAGGTCCTATATATTTTGGGCCAGGTTTTTTACAGGGCTGTAGGGATTTTAGGTATTTTGTAGAAAAATATACCATTTCTCCTAGAATGAATGGTGTGGGTTCGACTCTCTTTTTATCTGCTTGTGCTTTGTATGTTTGCCTAGCTTCATCTAAGGGTTTCCTAACTACTGGCCAGGTATTTTGTAATTGTGCTATCCATTCTTTCAGTGATGGGATTGATGGTTCGTTTGGGATTAGTTCTGGCATAGGGTTGAAACTTTGACCAGTGGCTATTTGAAAGGAAGTGTAGCATGTGCTGGAGTGGACTGCGTTTTTGTAAGCGATTTCTACAAAAGGGAGTAGGTCTGTCCAATTCGTTTGCTGGAAATTAATAAAGCATCTTAAGTATTGCTCAAGTACTGAGTTAGAACATTCGGATTGTCCATTACATTGAGGAGGATGACTAGATGACAGTCCCTGAGTGGTTCCTAAGAGAGATAAAAATTCCTTCCAAAATTCTGACATAAATTGCACTCCCCTATCAGATATGATGCGTTGGGGTGCCTCATACAGTCTGTAGATGTGCTGCACAAATAATTTCGCTAAGGCTTTTGCGGTGGGAATCTTTTGGCAAGGGATAAAGTGCTCTTGTTTGGAAAACAAGTTTGTAACCACCTAGATGACAGTGTTTCCATTGCTTTCTGGTAATTCCACTATAAAATACATGGCTATTTCCCTCCAGGGGGCTGAGGGATTCACCACTGGTTATAACAGTCTGGGCAATTTCCCTTGCAACCTCTTAGCAGTTGCGCATGTTGGGCAGCTGGCCACATAACTTTCTATGTCTTTTTTCATGGACGGCCACCAAAATTGCCTTTTAATTAAATGTAATGTTTTTACAAATCCAAAATGCCCTGCTGATTTTGTATCATGGCATAGCTGCATGAAAGTGACCCTCTGGGTGGTTGGTATATATAACCTTTCCCCCAGCCATGGCAGTCCGCCCTTGATTGTGCACACGTGTCTATTTTTCTGGAACCATTAATCTGTTTCCAAAGTTTTCTGGAATTCGATTCCGGTTTGGCTACTCAGCTGTGTCTTTAATTTAGCTTGGGCTCTGGTGGTTACTGGCACTGCCAGTTGTGGTTCAGGCATTGAGTGGTTTAGAATCGGTGGCTCGCATGCTGTTATATCGGGGCATGCGAGACAGTGCATCTGCCAGGATGTTCTTCCCCCCCGGCAAGTGCTTGAGCATAAAACGGAATTGGTGAAAATGCTGGGACCAGTGGGCTTGCTTGGGAGTGAGCTTCCTGGGTGTTTTTAAGGCTTCCATGTTTTTGTGGTCCGTCCAGACCTGAAAAGGGATTTTATTCCCTTCAAGGAAATGGCACCATGTAAGTAATGACCAATGTACCCTTTATGCCTCTTTTTCCCACATGGCCCAGCGCTGTTCCATTTCGGTGAGTTTCTTGGATGTGTACGCGCACGGTTGCAATACCCCTTCGTCATTTTCTTGTAATAGTACAGTTCCCACTGCCACATCGCTTGTGTCTGCCTGTATAATGAAAGATTTATCCGTGTCTGGGTGCCTCAGTATGGGTTCGGCAGAAAAGTCTCTTTAACCTCTCAACGCCGCTTGGCATTCCATTGTCCATTTTAGTGGCTGGCTAGGTTTCACTGAGGATTCTCCCTTCGTTTTTAGTAAGTTCCTGAGGGGCAGGGCTATTTGGGAGAACGAAGGAATTAATTAGTGGTAAAAGTTTGTGAAACCCAGGAAACTTTGCAACTGCTTCCTTGTGCGAGGTGGTGCCCATTCTAGTA